CACATGGGACAAAACTGGAGTGTGATAAAACTTCTTAAGTTTTACAAAGTTCCTAACATGCTACTTAAGGAAAACTTAGACACCAAAAAAATCTAACTTGATCAGTATTCTCTCACAAATAATGACAAATTTTGAATAAATTCCATCTTTGAATGAAAGGGCAGACATGAAGAGGCCCTTTTGAATAAGATATTTTCAGATAGCCACCAGGCGCTTCCAGATATATCATCTGTTATTATGCAAAGCTTTTATTGCTCATGATTGACTTTAGACACTCATTAAAGATAAACTCGTATTATAGAAGAGCCAGTAAATTATTAATGTCTCTTTATAAGGGCTTGAATTGCATTCTGGTCACATAATTTCTCTCTCTCTCTCTCACTCTTTTAATGATAAATTTTGCTATAGGGTATGTGCACTTGCCAGAGCTAAACAGAAAGAGGGAAAGTGAGAAAAGCAACTCCCCTCTCACCCGAGGGGATATGGCCATGCCATAATCCCTTCTTCTCCATTCTCCTTTCCGGATTTTGGGCACACACACACACACACACATATACACACACACGTGTGCTTGGCATGTTTTGCAACCCATGAGGTCCAGGACTTGAATCTCACAGTTGGCCATGTGAGATGCAACCACCTTAACTACCACCATAGGCTGGTCCATAACCACATTCTTAAGTACATTCCTTTATTGTGAATTTTAGAATTGTTGCAAATGTCTAATACAACTCACTTTTTCATTAAGGTTACTTATCTTCAGTCATTTTTCCTGGCCTTAAGCCATCCTTTTGAAACTCTGGCTCAGATGTTCCTCTAGAAATGACCAAATATTTAGCTTGAACGAAAAAATGGCAGGAACATGTACGTGCATGCCCAAAATTCCCAGTGGAGAATGGAGTGGAAAGGATATCAATATGGACAGCCCCCCACCTCTTCTCTCCATCTTTCTGTGTTTCTATCCAGCAAGTGCATGCGCCCTATACAAAAAATAAAATAAAATAAAATAAAAATTCCTTTTTTTTATATCCAATGTTTTACAAATTTATCTGACCATTGTGATGGGCATTACTGTTACTATGCTCTATACATACATGATGAATAACCATGAAGAGAGAACTCTCCCCAAAATAGTTTATAAATCTATTAATTTACTCTCTACAAAAACAACTAAATATTTATTTCATTTTTAAGGCACCATATGAAGTTTTTGAACACATGAAATGATTTCAGAATAACTTATAATTTAAAACTATTTCATTTATTAAATGAAAATTTATCTCTATCTCCATATGGATTATATTTATTATATATAATATTCCTTATAATCCAATAAAATATTGAGATAGCAAGCTACCCACATTGGCCTCATCTTTATCTGTAACTGAAAAAAACAAAACCAAAAACAAAAACAAAGAATCCAACTTTTTTATTGTTTAAGAGATTTTTGCTATAGGGTGCATGTGCTCACCGAAAGACAGAGATACAGAAGTGAGAAATCATCCTGAGGTGGGAGGAAGGCCACACCACAATCCCTTCTCCTCCATTCTTCTCTCTGGATTTTGGGTACACACACACACACACACACACACACACACACACGTGCCTGACCTGAGTTTTAAGCCTCCGGGTCCAGAACTCAAAGCACAGTCGGCTACATGGGAGTCCAGCAATGTAATCATTATGCCATCTGCTGGTCGCCAAGAATTCAACTTTTAAAACCTTTAAGGAATATTTTAAATTTATAAAAATAATAATGATCAAAAAATATTTTCAAGTCAAACTTTTATCATTTGGTTGCCAATTACAGAAAGCAAGGCACACATGAATTAAAGTCCCACAACATGGTAGGATTCTTATCCATAGTACCTCCTTTCTTTAAACTATTCTAAATTTTTTATATATAATTATCTCAAAGAAGAATGGCAAAAAGCCTAAGATATGCTTCTTATTTAGACTGAGTATACTAAGTTTTACCATTAATCAAATTTAAAACTCTTAGAAAAAAATGAACTTCATAACTGAGACATAATTCTAATTAGGTTAGTAATACTGTTGTTTTAATCCATGTTGCTAGATAGATATAAAAGTGTCATTTCTAAATCTTAGAATAGTCTGTCTGCCAGTTAACTAAGAAAGGAATAGATAACAATTATATTTACTTGACCTGATTTTAGTAACAGGTAAAGTTATCCCATAGTACTGTTGCTATCTGTATAGCAGAAAAATTTATCATGAAAATACATATATATCACCTCCCTGATAGCTTAATTAGGAACTATTCTCTTCCATTACTATAATAAAAAGTATGTGTGTGTGTGTGTGTGTGTGTGTGTGTGTGTGTGTATAAAATAGAAATGACCTTTTGATGACATATTGTAGCTTATATTAAACATTTTTTATTGTAGTAACATATCTGAGTAATTGAATTCACCATACAGATATCACAAGCTGGAGCATGACAATGCAATGCTAATTGCACATTGTGTTGACATTTCAAGCATATTTTCTATAACAATATTTGCATTCATATACAGGTAGCAACACACATGGGGACAATTTGAGTCATGATTTATGTAAGCCCATGTATTGCATTCTGGCTAATCCACAGGCCCAGAGTTCAGCAAATCCATCAATAGTCAGATATCTTATCATGTACAGTAGTTATTGTATGACCCAACCATCTCAGGACCAAGAATAGTTATTAGCCTTTGAAATAGAAATATCAGCATTAGATAGATCTGATTACTTTTGTAAGGTAAGCCTTCTTACTAATTTAGAAAATATTAGTCTTCTGAATGATGTCTTTACCAATAGCCTTCAAGTTAACAGATGGGGGTAAAATGAAAGCTTTGTGTAGCTCTTCTTAGATAATCCAGCACAGTTAATACAGAATGTGTTACCTGAGTAATTTTCCTCCAATACATCATAGATCCATAAAAATCACCAAAAAAGGGCAGCAATCTCAAAATGTGCAAAAAGTTTTAATACACCAATTTTTGGTTGCAAGACTATATTTACAGCCATGTACCTTGCTTTATAAGGATCCAGACTATCAATGCTTTGTACGCATACAGACTTTAATCTGGTTCTTTAAAATATCAGCAGACAAAATTAACTTAATCAAATAACACATTTTATGTAAGTTTTATTGTCATGGAGGCAAAAACATACCACCATAAAGTGGAAGGAAAACCAATTTTCAAAAGGCCGAATTTCTCCTTTTGACTTTGTATATACAGTGGTCAAAACTTCAAAGGGAACATAGACTTAGTGGAAAATAAAAAGAATACAGTGAAGAACAAAATTTTCATCATAAGTATATTTCCAAATTTTTATTTACGACAATAACTTAGTGGAAAATAAAAAGAATACAGTGAATAACAAAATTTTCATAAGTATATTTCCAAATTTTTATTTACGACAATATTAGTCCAACATATTAATATATGGCCCTTGAAATTTTAATTGCTCAATTTAACGAGGAAAGCACATTTTCAAAAATATCATCAGGTCACAGGAACACAATTAATTGTATAGTTAAAATTTTTATTGCTTAACCCTTAAAACCATGTAAACTAAGACTCAAAATGCAAATTAGCATTACAGAACAGAAAAGAAAAATATTTCTGGTCACTGTCGAGGTATTTGCTATTTTTTAAAACGAATATACATTTTAGAATGAATCAGCACTTTATGGAAAATCAAATAAATGGAGTTTATGCAAACAGCAATTTTTTGGTGTTTGAAAGATAATATATTTCTAGATTTAAAGAAAATTTTGAGCAGAATGATTTTAACATGCTAACAAAAGCATTTGGATTCATTAATATTTAAACATTTGAAACTTCAAGTTGGATAACAATATTCCATAATCTACACTTTCCAAATTAAAAAGAGAATTAAAATGCTCTCTGATGTCCAGAAAAACCACTGTCATCTAGCTTTGTATAAATATTAAATTTTAAAAGATGTTTTTGTTTGCTTGTTTCGGGGGTTTGGTTTGGTTTTAGTTTTAGGGGAGCGCAAGTTAACAGGAATGTTTTGTATATTCAGGTTTAATTTAGGTACATGATAAAATCTGTGTAAATTTTTGTACCCTATGGTTAGCCAGGGATAGTAAACTGTGTTCTAGGCAGAAGTTACTATTGCCATTTCTATATTTGATTTGTTATCGCTTCATTTTTATATATGCAAGATAAATTGAAATGGCAGTAAAATACAGTTTAATGGTAGCGACATTAATCAAAATACGAATCACAATATTCATTAAACAGATTACGTAAAGTAAAGGGTAACTAATCTACGATGTTGGATTACTCAAGTGAAAGCGAATGTGTACTGTCACACTATGTTTGTAGATGATGATTTAAAATAAAAAAGATTTTTAGACAGTTCTGGGAATTGTCTAATCTTACATAGTTCTGGACTACATCCCAATCTTAGATTTACTGAATGAGAAAGACTTTTTGTATAACAGTATGAAAATATGCTTTCATTTTTACTAAACCAAATTCCCTAGTAAAAGTGGGAAGACTGAGTTGCTTCTAGAATTTTTCAATAAAGCTATTTCTTTCTCCTAGAAGACCGTCAGGCCTGAACTATCATTTAGGCTGATATGTTTTAACCCTATGAATAAAAAATGTATAATAAGAACTAAGGAATATTTTACACCTCTAAAACATTTCTACGGCCTCTCGAGACTTCCATGGTTTATTACTGTGTCTGCCCTTCTTAGCTGCTCATTAGAGAATAAGCTCTACAGCACAGTCTGCTGCGTACTGTGAGTAGGAGATATAAATAATGAGCACATGGCTTTTCTTCACAGCTCCATCGTATCCGACTAGAAGAGCATAAGCAGGCAAAGGTGGCCAATAAAACACTACTGTTCACAATAAGACCAGAATTAAGTAGCTAGGAAAACGAAATTTTTCCATCAGTTAGTTGGGTAGTTTCATACACTTAAATTTACTTTCAGTTTTTAACATTTTTTTTGTCTATTTTTTTTTTCCTGGGAGGATTCCTCCCAGTGTTGGGCATTCTTATGCATTCATTGTTTTAAATAAAAATTTCATGCTTGTACGACTAAGGGCAGAAGTTACAAAATGTTCACTACAGCAAGTTAAGTAAACATTTGTGTGATTTAAGCTACTACAAAACAAGTGGTCAACACGCTGGGTTGATATATAACAGACTAAAGTTGTGTCTCCATGTCCAAATCGTCGATTTAAAATTCCAAAAGTCCTCGTGGCAAGACTTGATTGCTGATCATTCCTAAAGAGATTTTTCAGTATCCCAATTTTTGCATTATGAGAAATCTCTAACATATTTAAGAATTCACAATGGAATCAAAATCACTCAGAACTACACTGTAGTTGCCTTCATCCTGACATCTTTATCCTCTTTTCCACACAGACAATAGCAGATTCTTTTGGACGTTTCCAGCAAGAAAAATGATCCAGGATGTGGATGTTAGGTAGTCACAAAGAATCAAGTAGCTACCAATAATTTAGGGGGAAAAAAATTATTTCATTCTAACACAGCCTCAGAACATGGCTTTAAAGGCAAAATAAAACTAATTTTCAACTTTGGGTTGCCAATTATCCAGCTTATGAATGAAACCAGGCCATTTTGCTCCTCTCAGTTAGTTCTCCTGCTTTGGGCCATTTCTTGATTTGCTGAAAACAGCTTTCAGGATAGGAAGAGAAGGTAATACGTTAATCTTGCGAATATTTAGTATCTGTGTGAAAACATAAAAGCATTGGGAAAAAGGTGAATTTTGTACTTTCTGAGGTTTTTCAGTGTCAATGATAGTGTTTATACTTATATGGAAAACTGAAAGCTCACTCGCTGTTTTCAAAAATGTAAGCATGAAAATGAAGTAAATTGCTAAGTAAACTGCACAATAACTTGGGACAGAATGAAAACTTCATACTTTATTTTGGCTTTTAAAAATCCTAGTAAAATGTGGTCATTGGAATCTTCTATTCACATTTAGACTACTGACTTTCTATGGTGCAATGAGAAACTATTATATGAGACTGCAAGGTAAGTTGGTCTCCACATGGAGAGACTTACAAAATAAGTGTGACACAGTATCCTCTAACACCAAAATGAGTTTGAAATGTTAGCTCTTCTATTTCTGTAAAACAGTGCAATTTGTTTTTAACCGTATGTTAAACCTATCAAAGATATACTTTCCAAATAAAAATGAGTCGTATGAGTCACAAAAACCATATAGAAAGATTTTGTTGCTACAGCATTTTCTGTTCCTTTATGTGACTCCCTATAAAAAGTAAAAATAAAAGCTAGTTTATGTTATATTTGTAACCCACTGGATTGTCTTCCACTGTAGATCATAATGGGATCTTACCAGATCCTTACTGCAAACGTACATGATTACAGTAACTAAATTTCCACGCAGATGAATAAAAATGTTGGAGAATCAGGCTGAGATTTTTCTAGTACTTTACAGTGTGCAATAATAATAATAAACCCGTTTTAGACTTAATCCTGTCGTCAAGCTCTGCCAGGTTTCTAAATCTTTTCTTTGTTAGCGTTTGAAACGTCTACTGTATATAAGAGAATTAAGAAGGTATTACACTATTAATGCTTTTCAAGTCAAAAGGCATGTTATCTAGAAAATAATTTAACACTGTAATGGAATCTTCAAGATCAATTGTGTTTTATATACTCTGCAGCAAAAATAACATTTCTAGTAGGAAGGAATTAGAAACCTAGCAAATTCTAGACATTCACATATTTGTGTAAACAACTTGCACATGGTTTATTACAGTTCCATAAATATTAAGTCTTATATTCAGTTTTCCGCTAATTCTTCTTTTATATATTATAATAAATATATACGTTATTTGAGTACATGTGTGTATATATTTTCACACATATATATGTCATATATACATAAAACAGCACTTAATGGTCATTTTCTTTGCATGTTCAACTCGAGGGGGGGAAATGAATTGCTATTATGCATGACCCATGGCGATCTTCCTTTCCGCTTCACAAATGGCCATATCGGGATGTAAACAAAACATTGGAGCGAGTCATTCCCGGTGAATTGTATTTCAAGTTGTAGGTTGGTGTTCTCATGAAGAATTGGGTACTTCCTGGTAGCAAATACCTAAAAATGACAGTTAAAAATTTAGATATTTAAAAGCGAATTAGGATTAACATCTCTCTCTAAAGGGTTTTGTGGCTAGTAGTTTACATAGTCATCATGAGAAATGTTCCTACAACGCAATGCAATTCATATAAAAAGATTTCCTCCCCCAGTTTGGAGAGGAGAAAGGAAGAGAGTCATACAACCTCACCAAAAGAACTGAATAGAGAAGTAATATATATTGATATCCCAAGACATCCCATAAAGAGCTCTAGTACTCAACTGCTATGAAATTGTTTATGTAGCTCAAATGAACGTGCAGTTTATCATCAGTCCTTGTAAGTAATGTGTGGGGCCAAATATTTTTAAAAACATATGATATGATAATCTAACTAGCCACATTAACAATAATTATTTCAAGGATATTTGGACCATACATCACTGATATATTATGGCTATAAATAATCTAAACAAAAAAGGTAAAAAATTCATAACTACTTTATAAATTTTATTCTTAGTGCTTATGATTACAGAATGTCAAAAATAATCATGATTATAGATTGTATATAATCCTTGCTGCCAAATGTATTTCAGAACATGAGATTTTTTACATACTTTAGAAAGACCATGTAATCATAAACAGTCATATACTATATATTATATAACACCTGCATCAAGGTCTTGAAGCAGCATCCTATAAATAAAATATTAACATTTCTTTCTTCTTTCTTTCTTCCTTTTTTAGAGATTTTTGCTTGAGGGTGCATGCATTTACAGGAGAGACATAGAGATAGAAAGCAAGAAAGCATCCCCCAGGGGAGAATAGCCATGCCTCAATCCCTTCTCCTCCATTCTCCTCTCGGGATTTTAGGCATGCACATGTGCCCAGTATGAGTTTCAATCCACCAGGTCCAGGACTTGAACCATGGTTGACCGTGGGGAGTACAGTGCCCTAACCACTGCTGGCCCTAACATTAACATTTCTGTAACAAAATGTATGACCATTTAAAATAAATCAGATGGCTAAAAACTACAAACAATATCATGTCAGCTCAGGTTAGATTTGCCATAAATGGGTTACTTTATTTGAAAAGTTTTAAAAATTGGGAATTGTAAGTAAGAGATAATGCACCAAGGACATTCTATAAAGTTCTGACAAAGATATGTATTTCCAATGCAGAAGTAACAACAGAAGGAGAATTGTAATTAGCAGAGCTCTTGGGAAAACAATGATAGAAGATCAAATAATGTATTTTATTTTATTTGACATTATGATCCTTCAGTAATAAGATCATATGATGAAATTGAGGGCCAATGTCACCATCAGTTACCTATTATGTATTAAGTAATACTGATAACTAAGAAACCACTATGTCAATAGAGTCTATGAATTTCATGGAAAGGAAATGAATTAATTATAATCAAACTGCGTACAGCATTCATATTAAAATATAATTTTCCATAACATACATAAATATCATTTCATCATGAATTATCTAATATTATTCTCTAAATCTCTTACCTAATACCACAAACTATAAATAATTGCTCAAATCATTAAGTTAATAGAGCAGTAAAATAATATACAACAAACCAAATTAAATCAAAATTGCGTAATGGGTGATGAATAATGAAACAATTGATTTCTCACATCATAGATTATATAAATTATTTTCTTAATATCATCTGGGTAATTTATACGGATTAATTATTATGTCAAGAGCTGATGAAGTCATTATGATTAATTGGTTATATTCTGCCATGAAGAAAACTGCCATTCCTATCTGCGGCAAAGATACACAAGAAAATAAGGTGTTTCATCAAAATCCACTATTTTGTGTTCACTGAGATTTATTCTATCTACCTCCTATTGAAATTTCTTTCTGATTATGTTGATATCATTACACAATAAAGAGGTACATGTACCAACTTCCTGTCAAAGATTTTCTAAGCAATAGTTACTACTGACATTTCAGCAACACTCACAAAAACTTCTGAGTTAAAGATCTCCCCTTTGGGGACCAGCAGATGGCAAAATGGTTACATCACTTGACTCCTGCATGGTCAAACATGGTTCAAGTCCTAACCCAGAGGTATGTGTGCCCAAGATCCCAAGAGGGGAATGGAGGAGAAGAGATTGTGGCATGGCCATCCCTCCTGGGGGGTGATTTCTCACTTTCTGTCTCTGTCTCTCTCTGGGTCTCTGGCAAGCGTACACGCCCTACAGCAAACAAACAAACAAAAATATCTCCATTTTGTATGTGGAAAAATAAAAACATAAAGTCCAGAACCACAGTCAACTTACACTATTTTATTGAAAAAATATTTAAAAAAAAATTTTTTAGAAGTTTTTGCTATAGGGTGCATGCATCTCCCAGAAAGACAGAGAGAGACAGAGAGACAGAAAGTGAGAAATCACCCCCCAGGGGGATGGGCATGCTGCAATCCCTTTTCCTCCATTCTCCTCTCGGGATCTTGGGCATGCACGCACACGTGCCCAGCATAAATTTAAGCCACTGGATCCAGGACGCAAACCGCACTGGGAGTCCAGCAACATAGCCATTATGCCAACTGCTGGTCCCTTGAAAAAATATTTAAATAGTGTTTTCTATATGTCCAACACTATTTTAAGCGCTTTACAAATATTAATTCATTGGGTTCTCATAACAATTCTATATGGCATATTTCATTATTAATACATTTTTACAGAGGAATAAACTTCATGAGGCATACAAGAGTCAAAAGCTTTGCCCATGGTCGCATAGCTAGTAAGTGGCAGAGCTGGGATTCAAAGCCGTACCTCAGTGCTGCTAGCAACTCTACTATATTGTCATGATGATTCCACACAATTAATTGTCATTATATATGGATCCCAATTTTAAATTTTAAATTAAATTCCAGTTATACTCTTTTTTTTTTCCAGAAATTTGTACAAAATAACCTAGAGAGTAGAAAAAGATCTTACGTGCCACAAACTTTTTTAATAGAAGCAGAAAAGTTAAAAATGAAACCTCTTTTAAGACTTGGAAAAAAAGTTGTTCAGAGGGAACTAAAAAAAGCATACAAAATCGCATTGGAAGAAACAGTTTGCTTCCCTAAAGCAAGTGCTGTGGGATATTTTGAAGCATTACAGAGAAACACACTGGATTGTTTGCCTTCATACCTCCATTAATATCCATTGGTTGCTCTCATACTAGCTGAAATGTTCTTCTGCAATAAAGTTAAATAATACAACTTGGCATTTTAGCAGGAAGACCATCACAAGGAAGTGGATTTATAGACTATATCTAAAGAGTTTGCGTAAAACATCCCCAAAACGTGAAAGTCTATAACTTTATTTGTATTCTAGTTTATTCTTGATGCAGAAAAACAGCTAACTCGTGCTAATACCTCAGACTACCTTATTGCCACTTGTTTAACATACGTACCCTCACCCTTCATCCCTAAGGCTGGGTGTGTACATCTTCACATATGCATCCTACAGACACAGAACATGCATATGTTTAATTCCCAATTGGTGAAGAATTGGTCTTTCAAGTTCCCACTGATTCCTGACCATGGAGGATCTCTAGAATATGAAACATTTCTAGACTGGCAGAGGATTCACCTTGAAATTTTAAGCTACACCCACCTTCTGAAATCTTCCTGGAGTAAGACCAGGATCCCTCAACCTCACAGAATAAATTCAGCTTTCTGATTTGGAGACTGTAAAGTACATAAAGTTCATCAAAATATCTGTCCTGTGTTCTAGAAAAAATTTCATTGTAGTAAAATATATAGAATGACATTTACTATTCTTTTTACCACTTTTAAATGTACAACTCCACGTATTAAATACATTCACAACGTTGTGAAACCATCACAACCGTCCAGTTCCAGAACTTATCATTCCAAACAGAAACACATTAACTATTAAATTCCTATCTCCCCTCCTTTCTATCCCTGGTAGCACATCTGTTCTATTGTCCCTAAAAATTTGCCTATTCTACGTACTTAATATAAATGGGATAACAATATTTGTATACTCTTATCTGTCTTATTTATTTATTTATTTATTTATTTAGCTATAGGGAGCATGTGCTTGCCAGAAAGGAAGATAGAGAGAGACAGAGAGACAGAAAGCGAGAAATTACCCCCCGGGGGGATGGCCACACTGCAATCCCTTCTCCATTCTCCTCTTAGGATCTTGTGCACGCATGCACACGTGCCTGGTGTGAGTTTAAGCCACCGGGCCTGGGACTCAAACCACAGTCGACTACATGGGAGTCCAGCGACATAGCCATTACACCAACTGCTGGTCCCTGTATCTGTATTATTTAACTTAACGTGTTTTCAAGGTTCACCAATTTTGTAGTTTGTGTCAGAATTTTATTCCACTTTATGCCTGAACAATCATCCAATATGTGTATACTACATATATATATATATATTTTTTTTTAATATATCTGTAGATAGATTTTTTTTTTTGCACTTTTGTGCTACTGCAGTAAATAATACTGCTCTGAGGGACCAGCAGTTAGCGTAATGGCTATGTCCCTGGACTCCTATGTAGTCAACCACGGTTTGCGTCCCGGACCCAGTGGCTTAAAACTCATGCCAGGCACGTGTGCGTGCGTGCCCAAGATCCCGAGAGGAGAATGGAGGAGAAGGGATTGCGGCATGGCCATCCCCCTGGGGGGTGATTTTTCTCTTTCTATCTCTGTCTCTGTCTGTCTGGCGAGTGCACACGTCCTATAGTAAAAACCTCTCAAAAAAAAAACAAAGAAAAGAAAAAAAAAAAAGAATAATACTGCTCTGAACATTGGTATGCAAGTATGTGTTTGAGTCCTCCTTTTCAATTCTTTTGAGTATATACCTGTGAGTGGACTGCTGGTTCGTCTGGTAATTCTATATTTAATCTTTTGAGAAACTATCGAATGTTTCCACAACTGCCACACCATTGTACATCTTCATCACCAATGCATCAAGGTTCCAAATTTTTCACATCCCTGACACTTACTATTTTGTACTTTAAGAGTTATGACTATTTAGGTCTTGCTTTCTGTTTCTTCTTTTGCTACTTGTGTAATAGATGGTTTCTCAGAGGTTTGTTAACTTCATCTAAATTATCAAAGTTCTCACCATGAATTATTCATAACACCTTCTTATCAAGTTTTAATACTTGTAGGATCTCTGGTAATGTTTCCCATTTTGTTCTTGATGTTAACTATTTCCGCCTTTTCTATTCTTAATCAGTCTCGCCAGATGTTTATCAATTAATCTTTCCTAAAACCTACTTTAGGCTGTATTTATCTTTTTTATTCTATGTTTGTTTCATTATGTTATTAATTTCTGTTCTCATTTTCATTACTTGCTGTTTCTGTATTCTTTGGGTTTATTTAAATGTTATTTTGTCACCTCTTAAGATGGTCACGTAGATCATTTAATTTTTGTCTTTCTTTCCTCTACTATGTTTATTTAAGTTTACAAATATCCCAGTCGTAATGATTTAGCTGTATTCTACATTTTTATTTGTAATATATTGTTATCATTCAGTTCAAAGTATTTTATGCCCTTTATGATATCTTTGGTTCATTTAAAAGTATGTTTTATTAAACCTTCCAAAGTACAGGTTTTCTGGCTTTATCTATTATGTTATAGCTTAAAAATACTGCAGTCCGGAAAAAATAGCCTCTATGATTTCAGAATATATTGTTAACATTCAGTTCAAAGTATTTTATGCCCTTTATGATATCTTTGGTTCATTTAAAAGTATGTTTTATTAAACCTTCCAAAGTACAGGTTTTCTGGCTTTATCTATTATGTTATAGCTTAAAAATACTGCTGCAGTCCGGAAAAAATAGCCTCTATGATTTCAGTTCTCTGAAATGTGTTGAAATTTGTTTTGTAATTCCACTATATGGTTCATTTTGCAAAAGTTCCTAATGTGCTTAGTGTGTTGTTTTCTGAAGTTATTAGATTAACTTCTATAGATGATAATTAGGTCTACTAACTGTATTGTTAAAATTCTCTGTATTCTTACTACTTTTTCCCCAGGAAATGATTATTAACCTCTCCCAGTGTGGTTGTAGCTTTGTCTACTTTTCCCTTTAGTTCTGTCAAATCATCTAGAACAGTTACTCCTAGGAATCTACCATATTTACCAATGTTCCCATCAGAAGTCCAGAATTAAGATTCAGGGTCAAAAATATCTTTTCTGGTCACCAGGAGGAGAAGAAAATAAAACGGTCTGAAATAGCTATTAGACATAATTTCTTCATCTAGAGTAACCAGGAAGACTCATCCTCATTTGCCTACCCTCAAAAATTAGAAGATCCTTCAACAGAAAAATAGTTAAATAAAATCTAGGATTGTAGGAGTGACATCAGTTTGAATGAATTACTTCCTAGACTAGCATTTAAGGTACTCTTGATCATACCCCCAGAGTATTGCCTTTTAAAAATGACTCCAGGCCATCCTCATACCCTAGTGGTTAAGGAAGTTGTATCCCACATGGCCGGCTGCACTGTAAGCCCTGGCCCCAAAGGCATAAAATACACACTGGACACAGGTGCATGCATGGCAAAAATCCCAACAGAAAGAGAAATGGAAGGGAAGAGATTGTAGCATGTCCATGCCCCACTGGGTGGGGCTTTCTCCCTCCCCCCCTCCGTCTCTCTGTCTCTCTCTAGCGTGCACATGTGCCCGATGGCAATTTAAAAAAAAAAAAACCTTCATTTATATACTGAAATGACTAAAAAATAGCTATCACTTTTAAAATTATATAAAAGTATTAATGAAACTAATGAAAGTTTTATTTTAAAAATTTGCTTCAATCAAACCATTCAAGCTTTAGAATCTAACTTTGATATTTACATATTTTAAATATTAATAGTTAACTTTACCTCTACCCTTCTTATGACCAATTAGCTTCTATTTGCAGAAGAATTAAAATGGGTTAAAGTCCTGCGACAATACATTGACAGAATTTCAAGACAAAGAAGAATTAAAAATACATCTCTCAATACTTCTGTGAAAAATATTCTGAGTTATTCTGTTGTTGCAGGTTACTTTTATGGAAAATTCATTTTATTATTCTCCCTGAGATTCTTTTAATAGACATAATCAATTTCTAGATGTTTCAAAAAGAACGTCCAAGCTATTGTGCTTACATTTTCCTTACTGCTTATGAACTACTAGTTGACTTTTTTGACTATCAGTTAGTTTTTCAAAGTCATGGCTTACCTTCTTCTATCCTGAGTAGTGCTAGGCCTTGCACATACTAAAACTAAGTTACAGGGACCAGCAGTTAGCGTAATGGCTATGTCGTTGCACTCCCACATAGTCGACTGCGGTTTGTGTCCCGGACCCGGGGGCTTAAAACTCACACTGGGCGTGTGTGCGTGCGTGCCCAAGATCCCGAGAGGAGAATGGAGGAGAAGGGATTGTGGCGTGGCCATCCCCCCTCGGGGGTGATTTCTCGCTTTCTATCTCTCTGTCTCTTTCTGTCTGTCTGGCGAGTGCACGTGCCCTATAGCAAAAACCTCTCCAAAAAAAAAAACTAAGTTACATATTCATCTTCATTTTTAACGGTAGCTACAATTGTATTGAATAATGCTAATGTCCTTATTTATTCTGTGTATTTTTGCAGCTTAAAAACAACTTTTTCATGCTTTTAGAAAATGTTATTGTTAATTTTTAAGCCTTCTTTCTCTCTCTCTTTCTTCCTTTCTCTCATGAGTGAGAGAAACAGAGTAAGCAGGAGGGAGGGAGAGAAAGTAGACCTAACAGAGCCTTAACAATGTGATCCACAGGCCAGCAGATGGTGTGCTTGTTAAGGCTCTGGACACTCCCATATGGCCGACTACGGTTTGAGTCCCAGACCTGATGGCATGCTTTCTCACTTTCCTTCTCTGTATGTGTCTGGTCAAATGAAAAGAAATGAATAAATAAATGAAAGAAAATAAATAATTCTAAAATAAAAAAAATATGCGATCCACTTCTAGCCTTGGCCAGCCCCAGATCACAGGGATACATGTGCCTAACATACTCAGAAGGATCCTGAACACAAACCTGAAACCTTCCCAGGTGGCTCAGCCCCACAGAGCATCACGTTTACCCCTGCACCACCATCTATCCACTGGAAAACTACCTATTTCAACAACATTTCTAAAACTCAGAGTTTTAAATGGAACCTGACAAAAATTCATCTCCTAAAGATTTGTTTGGTGATGAGGAAATAGTAGAGGCATATTGAACAATTTTTATTAATCCAAAGGCATCATCCTGAGTGCAGTAGGCTCAAGGGTAAGTTTTCAGATCTTACTGTGGAACAAACGTTAAACTTATTAGCATATTTTTGGATGTTCTTACCCAGCTTTCGAAAGTAAAAGTATATAAGCCAAATAATCTCATTTCCATTTGTGTACTGCTATCATCCTCAGGTTTGTGTTGGGTGTCCTTTTTCAGTTAAAAGTAAAGATTATGCTAATTGAAAATGTTTTGTAGACAATACCATGTATGAATGTTCAGTTTGTAGCTTTTTCTTTAGCCATACAAGCAAAAAGAGATTTCAAACTGCATTGTGACATTATTTTATATAAAACTCACAGAGGCCAGGGAATGTAAGCCAGTACCTGGAATTACCCCAGTCAGGACCAATGCCTGAGAAGGATCCTCTTGTGTCAGTTGCATACTTGTAAACCACTAGCAGGCACTGTTTACAGAGCTCGACCACACGCTGACAACATTGGAGCTGCAAAGGAGTCACCACCTCCGGGCTTTTACTGAATATACTCTCCCAGGAGGATCTGTTGGCATGGAAACAAACAAGACCTCATATGTGCTGTTAAAAATGGCAGCCAGCTATTTCACTTACCTAGCAACGAACTGATAAGGGCAAGTAGAAATGTCCTTACACATTTGCAGTAACTACAGATGGCTGAGAGGTATATAATATATACAAATTAGGAAATTAGTCTTTGTAGTAGAAAAATATAACATCACATTCAATACTATTAATCTTTAAATCCTTTCATGCTAACAACTGTGGGTAGCTATTAGGATGGATTCTCAACACTTATGAAAACATAAAGGTACTCTCTACGTATTCATAAAATACTGAGCTAACTTCTCAAAGATCAAATATTCTAGTAATTCAAGTTTTCTAGGAATCTGTATTTATTTTAAGATTAATAATGATCCCGCACAAGGATTACAAAGTTGCTGCAATTTAGCTTGTAACCTCTAGGAAATGTTTAGGTTAATCTCCTGTTTATGACCATGCTTTTCAAAACAGTTTCAGACATAATTATGTTCATGATATTCCTAGAGCACAGGTTCTGTATTCTAGAAGTAATGTGATTTCAACAAGTACTGCCCTACCTCAACCCCAAAGGTAGTGAGGGACCCTCCTCCTTCAGCACATTTATTTCAAAGCTTATTTCAAAGGAGATAGCAGGGCACACTTTCTTGGTAAACCTTAACTGTGTGTGTGTGTGTGTGTGTGTGTGTGTGTGTGTGTGTGTGTATTAACAATTCCTAGCTATCATCGGGGCCCAATTTAGGAAAGACATCATCATCCTACCACCACAGATAGACACAGATAGAGAGGATTCGAGGGAGGGGCTGACATATCCCTTAGTGTAAACGAATCTCTTTTTCAAGCCTTGAGGGGAAAGTTTGGTTTGAGACTTGAATTGTTCGAATCTCATTTTACACGAATCAATTCACTTAATCCTCAAAGAGAAAAAAGTAGATTAGGAAAAAAAATATTAAGGAAAATATTTTCCTAAAGAAATGTACTTCCCATTTCCCCCTGACAATTCACTTAATCCTCAGAGAAAAAAAAGAGTAGACTTTCAGAAGGAAAAAATATTAAGGAAAATATTTTCCTAAAGAAATGTACTTTCCAATGGGAAATGCAAAGACTCCATTTTTAATCTTCTGTAGATATTTTATATATTTTGGAACTTTTAAAAATGCTTTGGAAACTCAGAGAGGTTTTTTTTTGTTGGTTTGTTTGTTTGTTTTCTAGAAAGGCCGTTGTTTATTTTTTTCAGAATTAACATGGTCCCAAAAAGAAAATCGTAAGTGAGTAACAGGTATTCTCAAAGAGAATAAGACTCAATTGAGTTAATTGAAAGAAATTATTTCTCTTTTATGTTCTGGGATGTTCAGGACTAAATATACTGGGTTTGGGGTTGTATTAACAGAGAGTAAAAGTGAATTTCATTCAAGAAACAATAATGTTCTAATTAAATTAACTCAAAAAATAAAATTTAAATTATTACTAAAGATAAAGAACCTAGATAGGTTATCTACCTGTTTATCAAGATGTAAGTTATAAGATATAAAATCAACTTACCTATTTTGATCAAGAAAAACACTGTAAAAAATAAATTAGGAAATATGTCTATAATTAGTATGCTTTAATCTAGTAGCCCCTACATGTCTAGACTCAGGGAGATAAAAATTTCCTATCAATGTAAATACACACGGAAAACATCTGTGTTTTGACTATCTACCTAGCACTTTGCTTTCCTCCTCTTCTGAGATTCTGAATATGTCTACAGAAGTCTACCTCTATCACCATTCTCTATCCTCAACTTGGATGTATTTATTTTTTGATATTTTGGAGTCATTTGACTAAATCTACTATCAGTTGAGGAAGAAAAAAAAAAAAGAAGAAGGATAAAAGGTGTCTATAACACTCTCCTTTGATGCAACTTTCTGAATAAGATGTGAGCTATAAGGATGACCAGTCTTGGCTTCTCATTCTCTCATTCTTTCATACATTTTTAAGATAAATAGGTAAATCAATATCCTGTACATAGTTATTTCTGGTGTGTATATTCACCACAACTGGCAAAAAACTCTACTCTGTTCTTTTAAGCCACATTTTAGTGCAGTATACCAAACCCTTAATAAAGAAAAAAGACCAGGAATGGGACCTGCTTCATCTGGGACTAGGCCAATGATGCCACCCCTGCACGAAGGTCACTTATCCTTCAAACTGAGTGATTTAGACCTGTGTCCCCCACCTCCTACCCACCCCTGGGAAGGAGAGCTGGGAAGTGCCTGTGTAATACTACCAAGCCTCAGTTTCCCTACTAGCAACACTAAGTCTTTTTAAAAGGTGAGAAGAGGTAGAAGTAGTTTAAAATAACGGTGTTTTTTTTTGTTTTGTTTTATGTTTTTTGTTTGTTT